ATATGGGCCCCTGTAAAGAAAAATTCTAAAACAATAAAGGCAGAAAATCCCCAAACCCCGTTCGTCATACCCCCCCCCCCCCCCCCCCCCGGTTCTTGTCTTTCCCCTCTGCCGTCACCGACCTGCACGGATTCTCTCAAATCCGATTCTAAAAGATCTTGAAAATCTAATTTCGGAAGTCCCATTAACACAAAATCTGGCTGGTACGCTTCGCAATATCCAGCCATCAATGATCGTCCGTACGATCTCGAATAAAGCTCATCCGTATGGTAGTCCGTTGGTGAATCAGGGTTGGGAATTGTGCGTTTTCTAGTGGATCTGGAAAACCGTTTATCAACGATAATGGAAACAACGCATTATTTGAGACCCTATCCGTCCTGGAGAACGGGGTACTCGTTAAAAAGAGAGAGAGACACTCACTTGGGCATTGGAACATCGATAAACTCGTCCATTGATACACCAAAAGGAAAACCAGTTTCACTCGTTCTGCGACTGTTGCTCGGTGATCCAGAAGTTTCAGACGTTATTGGAGAACTTTTGTCAGAGTTTTGCGATAGTATCTCTGTCGTATTAATTGATTGTTTATTGGTACCGAACAAGTTTAATGGATCATCCATGTCACAGCCATCGAGATCTGCATCTTCAAAGACTTCATTACATCGTATAAAATAGCTTAGAACAAAGAGAATACGTCGGACAGTGTTCGCATGTGCACCGTATACTATTGTGCGACACATTATGGGCTCTGATGCTGCTATCATTCCATAAAGGTCACTAATAGGGCGTGTGCAAAGGCATAAATTAATAGGGGGCATAAAAATAACGTTGGATTAACACTTCATACCTCAATTGAGCCCATAGAGGATCATATGACAAACTCTTCCTATTCTAAAGTATTTTACACAAAGTCAGCACGACAAAGTTCACGCTACAAGTATGGCTATATGACATTTCTACATACTCGATCATCAGTGCCTAGAACGGGAGCAACAGTTGGAACCCAGCCTAAATGGTAAGTAAGAACGTTCGTGATAATTGTTGACATGAAACTGCGGATAAACTGGGTTAAAGATAAAGTAAAATTAATATATACAGTAATATTATAATAATACAGTATTATACAGGACAATATTAGATTGTGAGACATGAAATGACGTCACAATGGAACGTCACATTTTAACAGATGAATACAACAAGGATACAAGTTACTTGGCTCTGTATCGAAATTATTCAAGAGATGATTCAACTCTGTCATGAAACTGGTGGCAAGAGTCGGCTTCGTCCGTGGAAACGTCGACATGTTCAACCATAAAGGGCGCTGGTTGAACGTAGAATGTTATATATTTGCATATCAGGAATCAGTTTTCATACAACAAAGGTCGCTCCGTCTACTCACTTGTATCCTTGGAGTAATATACATATTTACAAAACTATCGATAAATTTCTCTACGGCTTCTTCAAGAGCCGAATTCTTATCATACATTGTATGGAGTGA